TAAAGTTTGCCATGTATCTCTCACAATTCCAAAAGGAAGGGAAGATAACAGGAAACTTAATCCATCCTGATATCTTAGATTAATTTATATAAATCTGCATATGAGCCTCCCTCTATAAAAACTATGGGGGTTTTATGAGGTGTGGGATGCTCTGAGACTTTCCATTAAGTGTTACTCGCTATAACAAATTACCATTATTATCCTGTGCATTTCTATTTCATAACATGTTGTGGTTTTTGTTAGTCTTTTGAAAATAATAGAACAGATTAAACTAAACAAGAGCTGCCCAGGGATAATAACAAAGTCTATAAAAAGAGAAACTCTCCAATTATGGTTTACAATATTATTAAATCATAAAAGGCCTTAAAGGTTGAATGAGTCTTCGTGTGTACAAGTGGATAAAAAGCACTATATTAGAGCCTGAGGGTGCTGGTGATTATATACCGTAACTGGATATATACGGGATTTATCTGTGAGCCCGTACTCTTGCAGCGTAGATCCCTCTGGTTCTGGGTCTGCGAGGATGAAGTCACGAAATCCCACTCAATTTCCAGGCCCTCTGTACTGGGAATTGCTTACCCAAGGAGATGTGTCCCTGCCTGATGACCTATCTAAAGGCAGAGTAAGTGCCCACGGCTTTAGGGTAGCATGGTCCATGCTCCCTGCTCAACAAATGCTATTCTTCAAACAAGGCGGCTGTGCCGGGGGGAGGGAGGGCAAGTGGTTAACTGCGAGTGCTGGTAGATGTTGCTTATTCTTTTAAGAGCAGGAGTGATTTCCTTTCTTCTGGAGAGCTCTCTTACAAGCTCTACTCAGTGGACCTTCAACAGCTGGTGCCTGTGAAAGTCTCTTTCTGAGAGCGAAGCTCTGTAATGCCTTTTCGTAGAGTGGACGGTGGAGGAACAGAAAAGCTGCTGTAGGTGGCAAGGCCAAGTATACTGCTGTTCCTGGAAAACATCCATTAGCTTTAACAAAATCAAGGGATTTCTGTGTTTGGCATGTACCTCTTATTTTGGTATAGCTCCTGCTTGGGCATGTAGTTTCGGCAGCACTCTCCCTTGAGTGTGATATACTGAACCACACATGCTGCAACCCTTGGACACAAAGACAGGTGTTGGGATGAGTTTGCTTGAATACATGTTTTAGTGTAGCCTCCTCTGCCCTGATGGGGCACGTGATTGATGTTGAGACTTCTGTAATGAGTTTTTCTTTTGTTGGTAGCTTCGGTGATGCTGGTCAGCCCTATTAGAAGATACCTGTCAATGTCACCTAGTGTTGAGGGACTGCTCCTTGGTATACGTGCTCTTCCCTTCCTTTTCCCCTGGGCCTTTTGAGGGCCTTTGCATTTGAACTGGCGTTCACCACTTCTCAGGAGGCTTAGCACACTCTTTGCCTCTAGGGACTCTTCTAGCTGAAGATGCTTCTCCAAGTATTTCACGGGTGGCTCCCCTGAGGAAAAACCTCCTTGTCTGAGATGGTGGTGTCTCCTCTTTCAAGTGTCTCCATTCCTAGAAGCGTGGTCACTTGCTTTTTTTAGCCCCAAATCTTCAGAATACTATTTGCAAACACCTCTCTGGTTTGACAAGCAGTCAGTTCAAAAAGCCTGGCCAGCCCAAAGCATCTGCTCTCCTAGCTGTGTGCTCTACCAGGGCCATAACATGTATCTTGCGAGTTGTGCTTTAGCTCAGACAAATGTTATGATCTTCATGCAGAAGTGGCTAAGGTCTTCCAGCCCACACGATGCTGCAGATTAGAAATGATGGTAGTATTGGTGTCTTTGGGGCTTGCAACTTAAATGAAATGTTTTCCCTGTTTGTGGGACAGTTTAGATATGGAAATATATCAGGACAGCCCTCCCCGCCCCACAGTGGAGTACAGTTGTTGCCTGCCAGAGCTTCTGTTCATGAACATTAACGTTGGAGAAATGCCACTTCTTACTTAATTTTGAGAGTCCTGTCTCTGTTTTACTTCCTTTGTTTGCTGAGCCCTATACTGTGTGTAATTACTACATGACTCTGATAATGCTGCTTGCCAGTAAACAAAGGCAAGACTGAATCTCTGTAAGGTTATTAAAGTTTAAGAAGGGAGAAGTAATTTGTGATTTACCCATCCCCTCCTGCTCCCTTGCCCAGAAGTTGCTCTATAGTTGCTCCACAGTGGAGCAAATTTGGCTATCCATAGTAGGCTGCCTTTATTCCCCACGGGTGGGTGAGCGTGCTGGGGAGCTTTGCAAAGTCCTTGTGACTTGGATTAGAGCTGTTTGGAGCTCCAGATTTGCTCACCCGTTTGACGTACAATAAATTCAACCACTGCTAACATTTCAAAATCATTCTGCTGGGATTGTTTCAGGACAAAAGAATGTTTCCTTCATTGCCATGTGGCCTAATTTCTTATGACAAAGAGCTTTAGCAGCAAAAAACACTGGTGTGAATATAGCACCTGCACAGATTCACGTTTAGTGTTCATGGACCACCAAAGATGGTATTTAAAACATACACCGAGCCATGCTTGCAGTCAGTTTTTGCTGTTTAATGGAAGGCTTATCAGAATACCATGGTGGTGATATGTCTGTTTTTTTTTTTTTTTTTTTTTTTTTTTTTTATCCTTTAAGAATACATGGGGGAATAGCCAAGCTGTGAGGCTGATGCTTTTACATAGCTATTTTCAATAACTTACATCAGGTAGCTCACAGTTTACAAGCCTTGTTGACTTGCTGTTTGCCCCAAGAAGGCGTGTGAAGAGCACACGCTGCCTTTGGGATAGGTGACCTGGTGGGGACAGAAAGATCCTTCCCCTACAAGGTTCTGCCTCTCTTGCCAGTAGACCTGTTTTGCAGGATGCAAAGGAATCGGATGTGATCCATGGAGACTAATGAGAGATTTTGCAAGAGTACTGTCAGACATCGTGTTTTTAGTGATTGGTCCTCGCAACTTGGCTAAATAAATAAATAAGAATCTCTCACATTTTGGTGCGTGGGTTCATACCGCCTGATAGGCTGAGCACTTGTCCTCACGGTCCTCACCTGCCTACATCTGCTTTCTCCAGACATCAGGTTGCCAGAGCACACTTTGGCATTTGAGGGGGAGCGATGGTGACAACTGTGCTCCATCCAGCTGATTTACAGCCAGAAATGATTCATTTGAATAAAGAACGGGTCCTTAGGCGGTCCCTGCCGTTGCAGACATCTGCAGGTGCCTCTGAGCGGGAGCTTTGGGTCCTTTGGGGCAGGGTGGCCCTGTGCGGCCCCTTGTTCCCCGCAGCGTGCTGAAAACAAGATTTAGGCTTGGGGGTTCCCACTGCTGCAGTGTATTTCCAGCTGAAACTCTGGCTGGATGTCTGTTACTGCCATTTGCTGTGGTTTGTTGTTCTGTGCTGGTAGAAATGAAGAAAAGTGATGTATGCTGCTGCTCTGAAGTGGCTTGCAGGAGAAATGGGGGAAGGAAAAAAAAAAAAGAAAAAGCCCCAACTCTTCATGTATTCTTGAATCACACAGACTGATGTCTTGTCAGAATGTAGCTGCATCAACCCATACTTCAAAGGGAAAGGTCAAGTCGTGCTAAAATATCACTTTTCCCAAACTCTCTGAGTTTCAGCTATTGCCTCCACAAACACTCCAGTGGGAGCAGAGTAGGAATGCACAAGTAAGACTTCTGGTCTGGTAAAGTTAGAGTGGCCTGGAAAATGCAGCCCAGGACAGATAGCACTCTGTTGCTTATGAGTAAGGAATGTAGAGAGAATTTATAAAAAGCACATGTTTTCTGGCCTTCACAGACACACCATACCTCCTCTGTCTTACAAAAAAACCTAAGGTGTTTGCATAGTAGCAACAACTCAGTGGCTTTGCTTTTGCATCATGTATGTCATGGGAGACCTGGAGTCTGTTAGTAACAACAGGAAAGATTATTGACCCTTTAGCATGTTTACAGCTACATGCAAAATATTTAGATTGAGTCTTCTTTTCACTGGGTGTCTTGGTTTTTTTGTTTTGTTTTGTTTTTTTTCAAATGTCCTTTAACATTAGTGCTTCCAAATTCCTTGTTCATATATGGAGTCTTCCCTAGATAGAGACACCATGTATATATGTGTATGTGTGTGTGTATATATATATACATATATTTGTCCAAATGTACAGAGGGAGTTAATTCTAAAGAGAATCGAGTTATCTTCAACTGGATGCAAGGCAAAGCCTGTCAGCAGCTGTTAAGCAAGCTGGCTGTAAAAAACAGTGACCAGAAAAATGTGTTAATACATGCTGTCGAACAAATGTCATAACAGCTTATTATATTTTATTTTTTTTATGATTGACACACATAGTGAACCGTAATTGTCTCACTGAGTCTTGGGTGATGTTAGCTAACTTATCTTTACCATCAATGTCCTTATAAAAATGATGCTAACTATTAGACCAGCTGCTTAGTGTAGTCCTGATGTCAGTAAAGCATGTAAATAAATGCTTAATCTTTAGTATGTGAAAGTATTTTGAAATTTAAATGGGAATAAAGGCACCTGTAGTGCCAAGCAGATGCTCCAGTGCCTTACCAAGTCCTTGCCTTGGCTGTTTCCGAGCAAAAGCATCTATTCTGTAGTAGAAAATAACTACCCGTATTGTAAAGCTGCCACGTGGCTGAGACAACTGCAGAAGGTGCCAACAGGGAAATAGGACAAGTGCCGTACTTCTGGTGTTGGCCGGTGTTATTTGCTGCTAAGGAAGCACAGACATCATCTCCCTGCAGTAAGCCGTATGGGGAGGGCACAAGCCTCTCTCATCTCAGTGTCAAGAAGGTTGCCAAATGCAACCTCATATTTTAAAAAATGGGGAAGTGGTTTCTCTTTAATCAGATAAGCCAGAAGTTCAGAGCGATTTTCACTAATTAGTTTAACAGCAATTACATTAGAAGTCTGCAAATCAGACAAAAATATTATTTAGAGTATTTGAAAGATGTCCTGCTATTACAAGACCTCTCCAGTCTAGTAATGGTTCTGTTTTGTTTCCTTACAGGTTAAACGTATTGCTGGCTGGTATGAACCCCTTCTATTTCCATGCAGTGAATGTAATTTTACACTGTCTAGTGACTCTTGTACTGATGTACACTTGTGACAAAGCTGTGTTCAAGGACTGTCGACTTGCTTTTGTCACGGCGCTGTTCTTTGCTGTGCATCCCATTCACACCGAGGCTGTAAGTATGTGACATTAAAAAACCCGGTGACACAAAAGCTAAAAATAAACACATACTTTAAATTCTTTTTTTTTGTTTTTTAAAGAAACCTCTGAGTCATACAGAATATGGTACTTGTGATTTTTTGCAGTAAAGGAGCAAAGGTGAGAATGTACTGTATTTAAAATAATTTGCAGGAGTCATTAAGAAAAAAGTGTATTCGTACTTGCCATCTTTCTGCTCTGGCACTAAATTCTAATTGACAGTCCTAATCAGCAATGCTGGGAATAAATGGACAGTCATTCAGCTGATGAAAACGTTGAGGCTTCTGAAACCAAAGACCTTAGTGAGGCTGCGCTTTCCTGCTGGGACATTGTTGCACGCCTTCAGTCATCTCCTATAGCCATCAACTTAAGGGAGAAAAAGTGAAGGGAGCATTAGTGTATATTCTGAAGGAGATCGCTCAGATAGAGGTGATATGACCCATAGATTAATTTATATTGATTTCAATTGAAAGCTAGGAGTATCATCTTCAGAAAAATCTTGTTAGCTTAATAAACGTCATGGTAAGTTTACAGAGCAACAGCTCATACTGGACATTTTTCTGTTTGTTATAAGGAAACATTTAAAGACACAGTCATGCTAAAACTACAGTCGGTTAGCATGGGGAGGTACTTCGGTAGATAAAATGAGGCTTGCTCATGCAATGTTTAGCTATCCGTAATTAAAAAAAGAAATGCACTCATTAGCTGAGGTACCATTGACACCACATGCTTTCATTACCAGCCTTTGTAAATGAGTGAGGGAAACGGCTGCTGCAGCTGAGAACTTTTGAGGAGAGATTACCTTAATAACGAAAAGCCACGAGCTTTACAGTTACTCCCTGTGCTGTCTTGTGTGAACTAATCAGCTAGGCTCCTTTTGATAATACAGCTTTATATTTTAAAGGAGATTTTAGAAGAGGCGCTCTTTGAATTTATTTTTGTCTGGGTCAGAACTTAAAAAGGTTAAAATAAATGCCAGAGTGCTGAATATAGCTTAATTATGTAATCTCAAAAGAGGCAAAATTTCAAAGGGCCTTTTATTTGCTTTATGGGCAATTTTTAGATCTTTATGAAATGGAATATTGAAATAGTTTGTAAAAAGAGTGTTTATACATTCTTCTTCAGTGTTCCCTTTGTTATAAAAAGATTTGATTAATTAATACGTAGAAAAAACTCTCATAAACTCAGATTATTCAGAAAGAGAATAAATTACATACCACTCTATCACTTTTTGGTGATAAAGTTCATTCAAATATTAATTGTTAACTCATTCCTAGATAATAAGTCTTCTCCAAAGAGCTGCTTTTTCATTAGTCTTTCTTTAACAAATGTTAGTTCTGGGAGTTGGATGTGTTTCTCATTTGAGCCTTGTTATACAAAATTAAAACAGATCCCTAAAATTGGCATTTCTCTATGCAACTTTATTAATATTTTAATAAGAAAGTAAAGAATGACTTAACTGTTGGCTTATTCATTTGTTTTGGCAAATGAGAAACGTAGCAGACAGAATATCCTACACTAACCAAGTAACGTTTTACTCTATTGAAGGAGGATAACACTGAAAGATAAAAAGCTTAAAATAGCAGTTAGCATGGATCGTCGAAACAGTCACTGAACGTGCATGTCTTTTTATATACTTGCTTTTACACCTGTGTGTCTCTTCCTTTTAGGTAACAGGTATAGTAGGCAGAGCGGATGTCCTAGCCTGTCTACTCTTTCTGTTGGCTTTTCTCTCCTATAATAGGTATGGATTCTTGCTACCGGTTGTGATAATATTGTGAGATGCTTTAGTTTGAGGAGGAGACAAAGAAGAAACCTGTCAGTTTTCAGTTGTTGCTGGCAGAGGTACTTCCCCCAGCACTGCTGCATGGAAGTGCCCTGGTCCTTGCTTTCAGCTGCGGTGCCACATAAGTGATGCTTAAGAGAACAAATAAACATAAAAAGAGGAGTCAATGTTTACGGTCCTCTCTTCCATTGACATTATAGCTGACCATACACTAGAGGAGGGCTTGTAGAGCTAGAAATGATAAAGAAATGTTTTCAGCTGAAGGCAAAATAGTCTGTATGTAGAGTGAAGAATGAAGGGACACATGCCTACCTTTGAAATACATGCTGTGACTGTGGGACTCTGAAATACCTGGTCTGGGAGAGTTAAGGATTGCTTCTAGACTGTTAGTCATCCTTTTCAGATGAAAACTTGGCGCCGTTTGCTGGTCTGTGTCCTAAAATAAAGAGCGAGCTTTACTCAGATAGGGTTACTGCCCCTTTTGCATTGTTATTTCATTTAGGAATAGCACTGTGTCATCATGGCCACGTGGAAAAACTGCTTATATCTCTCTTGGGGATATACTTGGGGTTTGCTACAAATGTGCAACGCTGTTTTCATCAGAAGTTTTCAAAGGCGTAAAACTGGTAGTGACCCCGGAGGAATCGGCTTGTTTGATTTTTGGTTCTTTCTTACCTTCTTCCCTCATACAGGCTTGCTGCCAAGTCCGTTAATGATTAGGACACATCTTTGACTCAGGGGAGCGTGGGTGGGATGGAGGAATTTTTGCTTGCGTAGTGCATTTTGTCACATAAGGATAATTAAGCATGTGTAGTCTAGATGATGGAAAGCAGGTGTTTTTCTGCCCTTTGTGTCTTTGTACTTACTCTGACTGCTTCAAGTCCACTTTATCTTTCTGCTTGTCTTTTTCTCTCCTCTACTCAAATTCTCGGTGCATCTGTCAATATTTGTGTTTTCCCTTCCTGTCCCGAGTCTAAACCTTTGCTCATTTATCAGTGAAGAGTGTAGATTATTCATGTCACTTATTACCAGCATCTTAAGAAATTAAGGAAAAGAGTCTCAGTATTTGTTTGAATGTAGTAAACATGAAAGTAACAGAGAAGTGAAAATATTTATGTCAAACCTGTTTTTCAGGAGTGTGGATCAGCTTTATGTTGGGGAACATTTCCCTCCCACTGCCTCCCCATTCTTTCTGCTGCTTAGTTTATTCCTTGGGACATGTGCAATGCTGGTGAAAGAAACTGGAGTCACTGTGTTTGGTGTGTGCTTGGTTTATGACTTCTTTTCCCTCTCCTGCAATGGACTCAAACTGTAAGTAGCTTGCTGTGCTCATTGTGCTTTTTAACTGTTGCCACCTGTCTGTACAAAATATATATTATTATATACAGCACTGTGGGAGATGGACTTGCCCCACTGAATTAGATGGCCCACATGTGACAAGTTTGGAGGGCACCAAGGTTTCATTCTGGGTGTGTGTGGTTTGTTGTTGTTGTTACTCTATTGCTGCCTGGTAATTTCTGCTGGGTAGATAGACCAGATGTGAAGAACCGATCTCTAAAATGCTCAATTCACTCTGGCAAGACTAACATTTATTTTTTCCGTAGGAGTTCTGACTGAAGCATCAACATCTTAAAATTTCTCTGGCTTAACTCCTTCCATTCGCAACATCTGCTTGATTATTCATTCACAATGTCATGGTTACAGAAATATCATATGATGTTTAGTAGTAAAATCAGGTTTGATCCTTTCTGTCCTTACAGAATGGGAAAAAGAGGGAAAATATCCAGCCAGTTCTGGAATGATTGGAATAATTAGCAGCTCTCAGCAGTCACTGGAGAAAAATCAAATAGTTTGAAGTTTGTATCCCTCACCCACTTAGTGTCACAAATAACTATGCTATTCTGTATCTCCATTAAAAGTCAGAAGTCTCTTGTTTGATAGAAGCTGTTTTTTATCCATTTCTCTCCCAAACCGTAGCCGGTGCAGCTCTATCGACGACTGAATGTAAGAGCTTACTGCCACAGAGAACGGGAGGTCTCCCTCCTGCCACTGCTTCTGTTCCCACCGCTGCTGCCCCACGGGCTCTGGAGCCTGTCACACCCCTGTGTGAGCTCGTGTCTCTGGGTTATAAAAAAGGACACTGAATCCTGTTTCTGGAGTAGTGAATTAAATCAGCTCCCAGAAGGATTTGGGGAATGCCAGAGCTGGCACAATGCGGGAGCAGCAAATGGAGGGAAGAGAAGAGAGACTCTCTTCTTTCGGGAGTATCCTGGCTTCCCTCCTGTTTCAGCCCTTCCTCTAGGTCCTAATGGGGGATGGACCACACTTCAGGTCCACCTGCCCTCCCTCTGGCCCCTCCAGCAGCAATAGCAATCAGAGGGCAGGCACGATGGATCAGCAGGGGATTTCTCCTATTTTGACTGAATTCATAAAGTGTAACTGGTGGGAAAGTAGCCAGCGAGGAGTTTTCTGGGGACTGACAGCTGGCACACTTGTTAACACTTGCACTTACAGTCTGCCAGGCTTGTTCCAGGAGTTGCCTGGCTAAAGGTAGCACAAATGTTAATTAATCCGGAAAATGAGTGCCCTCCTCCTTTCCCCTCCCCTCAATCTCTCCTCCCCTTCGATTCACATTCCAGTAGTCTCTTTAGGTTATTTCTTTGCTTCAGTGGCATCCCGTTGCCCAGATGTGGCAGTTATTTAGCTTGCAGGAATGAAGCTCTGTAGCCCAGATGTGCTGCATTTTCATATTTGCTCTGGTTGCATGTAATGTATGCTTTTCTGTCTGTTTGTGGTGCTCAGGATTTTATGACTGTATTTGACTTTTTAAGGGGGCGGCAGAAAACCAGCAGCCTGCTACATGCTGCTGAAACTCATCTCCTGCTCCTTCCTCCAGCCTGTACAGATTTGTTTTCCGTTTAAGCGAGGCAGAACACCAATTATTTTCTGCAGCAGAAAATTAGGAATGGCACCGTGTTCTTCCTTGCAGTGCTTCCCATCTTACCCATCTTCCCAGAGGTCCAGAGAACAGCTTGATACAGAAGTGCTCATCTTCTGTTGCTGTTGGGTCGTTTCCTCTAGATCTAGTTAGGAACTAATAAGTCCTGTCCTTCTAGCACACAAAAGACTTTGTATTTTGGATTAAATAAAATGTCATCTGTTGTAGTTAGATAACCATGTTGTGCTGTTTTCATAATGCTCAACCTTTTGACAAGTAAATGTGAAAGATAAAAATCCTTAAATCCTTTTCTTTCCCCTCTTTTTCCCCTTTTCTCTGCATGCGTAATCAGGAGAAATGGGGGGATCCACCAGAGACCTGCCCGGCAGCCCGCGGCCTCTCCCTCTGCCTCGCTGCAGGTCCCTCCAGCGGGCCGGGAGAATGGGAAGCATCGCTTTGCTCACCGGGGCACCTGGAGCTCCTGCCACCCGGCATCACCAGAGGAGCAGCGGAGCGGTGGCCTTTCTGTGCCCAGCAAAGCCATGTGGGCCATTCGGAGGTACTGCTGGCTACCTGCCACTCCATTGTGGTTTCGTTTGCAGCTGATGCTACCTTAAAATGTCAAGTCATTCGCTTTGTTTTAGCCATTTTCGGCTCGCAGCACAGAAAGCCAACTGTATCCAGGAGGTCAAGGGAGGTGATTCTCCCCTTCTACTCCGCTCTCATGAGATCCCACCTGGAGTATTGTGTCCAGCTCTGGGGCCCCCACCATAAGAAGGACATGGACCTGTTGGAGTGAGTCCAGAGGAGGGCCACCAAGATGATCAAAGGGCTGGAGCACCTCTCCTGTGAGGAAAGGCTGGGAGAGTTGGGGTGGTTCAGCCTGGAGAAGAGAAGGCTACAGAAAGACCTTACTGCAGCCTTCCAGTACCTAAAGAGGGCCTGCAGGAAAGATGGGGAGGGACTCTTTAACAGGGAGTGTAGTGATAGGATGAGGGGTAATGGTTTTAAACTGAAAGAGGGCAGATTTAGATTAGATATTAGGAAGAAGTTCTTCACTGTGAGGGTGGTTAGACACTGGAACAGACTGCCCAGAGAAGCTGTGGGTTCCCCATCCCTGGCAGTGTTCAAGGCCAGGTTGGATGGGGCTTTGAGCAACCTTGGTCTAGTTGAAGATGTCCCTGCCCATGACAGGAGAGTTGGACTAGATGATCTTTGAGGTCCCTTCCAACCCAAACCATTCTGTGATTCTTATCCTGGAATGTGCTGTGATTTTTCTTGTGCTACTGGAGAGGGAAGAGAGTAGAAGATGGAAGGAGGGTTAAGGGAAGAAAGAGGAGGGAATTCTGCTTGGGAAGAGGAGGGAATTCTGCTTGGGAAGAGGAGAATATCTGAGGACTGTCCATGTCCTGAGACTCTCTATCCTAATACGATATGGTAGGCAATGTTCTCCTTCCCAGCTTCTCCATGGAGAAAGCCAAAACTGTAATGCTGGTTTGAATGTCAAGAGGGGAAATACATGTGTGTATACAATAATGCCTGAAGTGAGGTGAGTGCAGTGTGAGCAGCATATTGCGTGACATTGCTATCTATCTATCTGTATACACGTTTGTAGGTATAATTTCTGCACGTGGGTATACATACATGTAGATGTGTGTGTGTGCATATTTATGTATCTATATGAAAGTAGAGGTGATGCACACTTCCGCTTTATGCCTAAGAATGCTCATATAATGGATTTTCACCTGTCACGTCCAGGAGCCTCAGCATGTTCATTGGGGAAGGAAGGACTCCAGGGCCCTGCTCTAGCACAGCACCAGCACTTGGTGCCCTTATTCCTGTGGAGCAGCACTGAGTTAGTAACAGCGTTTAAGGGGGTGTGACTCAGCAGCTGCCCCATGGATTTGTACCAGAGTGTGTGGGGGTTTTTTTGTTTGTTTGTTTGTTTTTTTTAATTTAACCTTGATCTTTGTACAATCTCCCTGGTAGCCCTTGCCCTTTGTTGCTGACTTTTGGTTTATAACTACAAAACACTCACAGTATGATTTAATTTGGAGACCTCTAGTAATGAGTTGCCCCACACTACCTACTCCTTGGAGGAGGTGTTTTGTTCCTTAAATAATCAGGAATTACCTGCTGCAGTTCTCTGATCATTTAATGGTTGGCACCTGAATGAGCCCCATGCAGCACTCCTGAAACCTGGGAAAGGGAGTGTTTTATTCCTGCATAACACCCCTTATTAATCAGTTCAGTAGAAGATGTTTGTTTGATGTTGGCTTAATTTTTATTTTTTTTAATAATCTTCTTGCTGCATCAGGATTGATAGCATATAGGCGTTACATGAGATGTGTAACTCCCCAGATCACAGAGCCTGTTTCCTCTACCTGTGGTTTCAATGGTTCAACCCACTCAAGAGCTTCTGCCCTGCAGGTGTTTTGCCTGATAGGTCTGACTTGGGGATGGTTGGGGTTTTGGTTTTGTTTTTAACAACAGGGGAGAGGGTTTGGTTGTGTTGCCTCTCCGTGTCAGAATCTGTGATACAAAACTGGTAAGGAGGTGAAGGCTTTTCAGAGCGGGTAAGGGCTAGCTGCTCTGGCATGGAGACTCTTCTGGCCGTGGGCAACAGCTTCTAAAGTTGTTTGTTTGAATTTGTTTCTTCTCCTGTATCCCCAAATGAGTAGCACAGTTAGAAAGTGTGGGTGACCCTGGTTCCTTCTGATATGCCAGGCCGGAGTGGGCTGTCCAAAAAGCTTCATTTAACATCTTCCCTCTAAAGTTTAGGATCTGGTGGGGAGGAGTAACCTGAGCATGAAACTGGTGCAGCTGCTATTCCTGGCCTTTGCTCTCCCCATGTTTCTCTCGATGCGTTTGTTCTCTTTGATACTTGTATTTGTTTCCACTTTCCCTGACAGATACTGTGGTGGAGGGTATCAATATAAAAAATGTCCCCTGTCTTGCTCCATCTTCTTGTTCCTTGTTTCTTTTACCCCTGTTTCTCTTTCCTCCTACTCCTCCTTTGCCCCCTCCTTTGCTTTGTACTTTTTCCAGACACCCTCCCTCTGCCCTTGCTTTTGGGAATGGCCCTTTCTCACACCAAGGGGAAAGCCTCTGGTTTTCCAGCCTCTTCAGGAGAGGCTGCAGAAGTTCTGTTGGAGAGACCGTGCTCGTGGGATGGCTTCAGAGGGAACTCGTCCACGCTGCCAACTGGCATTTGCTTTTCGGCAGCTGCCTGTTCAAGTGTTGTAAAGGATTTCTGTGCATGGCAGATTAAGCTCTGCATGTACATAGCTGCTTTCTTTTTAAAAAGGGGCTTTCGTGGTGTAAGCTTCTGCGCTTCAAGTGACTGTGTACAACACACTCTCAGCAACCTGTTGTGCGATGGCTCGCTGTGGGATGCCCAAAGCAGAGCTGGCTCGGTCCCAGTGGCCGAGAGGGAAGCCTGCTGCCACACGTTTGTGTGAGAGTTATGCCCGAGAGCCTTGGGAGAAAGCCTGGGATGGGTTAATGGATGCTGCTTTGAAGGAAACTTCTCTAAAACACTGTTGACAACCTTCTTTACTAGTTTTTCCCCTTAGTCTGAATTCCTGTTTCCTCTGAAGGCAGGATAAGGCCGTATAACTTCTCGTTGCATGGAATGACAGCCTCATAGAGCCTGGGCAGTTTGACCAGTGCCTGCTTGTCTAATGTCAATGTTTGCTAGTCACTATAAAAAATAAATGTGCTGCTACAGCATTTGTAATTTCAAGAGATCATCTCAATTCTCAACCATATGCATGCCTGCAGTAGTATGGAACAGCAAGATTAAATGTGTTGCAGCTCACTGACTCTCAAAATGACGTCCACATCTTGCGGAGTCTGTGGACCACTACCTGATCGTATGGTTGCAGTCTTCTCCTTACTTCCGTTTGCTGACTTCTCTCACAGGACAGATTAAAATAGTTGAAATACTTTCTGTACACAGTATTTCTTTAGTGCTATTGGCATATTATACGATATGAAGTAGGAAGCACTCAAGGCAATTGCTCTATTAAAATACAATTCATCTTAAAAAAAAAAATCCTTGCTACAGATGAAAAAAGAAGAAAAAAAATTGAAGTTGCTGTCAAATATACAAAATTAATTACACAATTTCTTCTCTGTAATCGATGTTTCTCTGACTCATGTAGGTCTTCTCCATGGCAGAAGGGAGGGGAAAAGATTTTAAATACTTCAAAAATTCCAAAGTTGGAGGGCAGATTGGGCACAGTGAAGTAGCTTCAGATACCTTACCTAGTGCACTAGGTTGCTAGTTCTAAGATCTTCATTAGAATAAAACAGTTGTGCACTGCTTAATCTGTACTTTTAAGTACTTGTAGTGTGATCAGTTAGGTTTCTATTTAATAATAATTTATTATGTATCTTGCTACTTCAGCTAACTGAAAAATGCAGGAAAATGTAATGGAGGAGTTAAGGGAATCAGTCTAATTAGCAATAACTGGAGCTAGTTATGTAAAAATTCTTGGTGCAGAGAGATTTCTGTTCTTTATTGTCACTTGCTCTTATCTTCAGCTGTCCAATGAATGTGTAGGTTGCAGTCCTGGGTGCCTTCAGGAGTAAGGAATGAGTTAGTCTGGATGAAATTGTAGGTTATATCACTGCGATTTATTGCAATTTTGGGGGATGCTGGCATATACTACTGAAACCAGGTAACTAGGATCTCTAATGAGTTTGATCCATCTCCCTGAGTTTTGAAACCTGAAAGAGGCTTGTGACTGTACGTGCCCTCCTGTATGACACAAACAGAGAAGGGAACTTTCATGTCAGGCTTGCACTTCTGTTTGGGATAAGGCCAGAGCTTCAGTGCTTTCACTATGACGGTGCAGTATTTGTATACATGTCCTAATAAAAAGCAGTATCAGTGCCAACACCTCACTGGTTGCCACAGTGATACTCTGTTAGATGCATTAATATGTTTAACAAGGTTGATATATGTAAAACAACAAGTTGTCACAGTCCCTTGTCCAAGTTGTGTCTGTAATTGTCACTCGTTTGCTTTTTCTTGAGTTATTGAACCCTCTGAAAACAGTTGTGGGTTTTTGTTTGGTGGTGGTGGTTGTTGTTTTTAAATTTCAAGGCTACGTATAGTTGTAGTCATGCCATGTCATATGTGCCTCACACTCAGCATTGCTAAATGCTGTCCGGCCTGTGGACACCCTCATACTGCCTAATTACCTTGATGGTTTTGAGCTTTGTAAACAAGCCTGTGGTGGGCCCACAGGCTAAGCTTCTTGAAAAACAACACTTCTCAATAGCTTGCATACTTTTGAAACAGAACCTCTGTTTCTCTTTGGTGACCTAGAAACTGATTTTTATTGCATCTGCTGTTGGTGGTTTAGGTGAGGCTTTTCCCTTAGAATAGACCGGTGTTTAATGCTGCCATTTTCCATGTACGTGAACTGTTGCATTAGTTTTTTGTCAAGTGATAGAATGAGAGAAGAAGCAGGTGTACTTGGAGCTGTGCCCAAGAGCATCACTTTAAATCTGTGTATGTGCAAAAGAGTGAGGGAGCTCACTACTCGT